ATATATATATACACATATTGTTTTGTCTATTTCATATATTTTCGTTCATGTTTTGAGAGCGTATTAGGTCGTCCAGTTATCGGTTCACCGCCGGTGTCGCCGCAGGTCTGGCCTCCGAATGGTCCGCCGCAGAAAGCTGAAGATGTGCCGCGCAACAGGGGGTCGTTAACGATCAAGTTCCATAAAAATATGGGATGATCATTCATAAATTGATCAATGATGATCAATGTATATGGTCATAAAATGTCATTTTTTTCAGTTTTTTTCATCCCATGTTTTTTTTATCCATGGTATCCATGGATTTTGAAGCTGCCCCTTGGGAGAATAGTGCCAAAAAATCCTGGCCAGGTGCAGACAAAGATCTTCCCAAGATCTGTGCTAGCGCCAGCGGAACCAAGGCGCGAAAGGTCAGAATTTTGGGTACTGGTTAACCATCAATGTCCTATCAATCATGATTAATAAGGGAAATCATCCCCAAATGGCCTTATTTCAGGTTAGTGAATTATTATAATTTGACCGGATCAATGTCCCTACACCCAATTTTCAGCACCAGATGAATACGATTTTTGCAGCATATCAGGAGTTGGAGCCGGTTGGGGGCTGGAATTTGGGGTATCCCTTCATCCTATGAATAAATCAGATTTTTCAGTACGGCTTAAGTCAGTATCTCCCCTGAAAAAAATGAGTTTTTATAATGATGGGTACCCACATGGGCCGGGTTTGTCTGAATATGTGGGGTACCCCGAAATCCCCTTTCATTTGTTGGCCATTTGGAGGGTATACTGGCCTCAATTTCAGACACACCCAAATAGTATTGTTAGCTGTATCCCAGGTTGTATCCGTTGATGCATCTCATTGTATCCCCATAAAGTGGTTAAAGCACTGTCTTCATATGAACATATAGTATATGCGTGTTATTATACGGGTTCCCCAGCATCATCCAAAATTGAAACCCATGGATTTAGATTACCCAACATTTCAGGAAATGTGCAGAGTATGATTAATGCCAGTATTTCATAATATTTCCTGGTTAACCCCTAATTGTCGTCGCTTGGCTCCGCCCTTTTCTTAGTTAATTAAATCATGTTAACTCACCATTGTTCTGAAAATCTGTTGAAGGGACAATCTGCAGGGTCTCCTTTGAACAATTTGGGTGGATACCTTTCCCATGGTTTGCTGTAGACTTTCCCAACGCCAATGCATATGGGACATGAATCTTCATATAAAAGCACTGATATAAGCAACAGGAATTCATGTTCCATTGATATATATATATATATTGCAGCATATATATTTACTTATCAATAATTCCTGGCCTGCACCCCAAGGTTAGTAGTTAATATCATATTTATTCCCATTGCCAGATATAGTCATACTTATATCATGTTATATCCGTTAATCACCAGAGTTATACTATGGTTTATAACCATTTAAGAACCATTCATATCCATTAACGTTAACAATGGGCTATAATTTTCATAACACTATAGTTCTTTAAGTCATATTCACCACTATAGTTCATAACCATTAGCCGATTAGTCATAGTTATCCATTAATCACCATAGCATATCCATTAATAAATAATTTAATAAGCATTTTATAGCCATTTACACTAACAAGGGGCTATAATTTTCATAATACTATAGTTTTCAATATGCCATGAAAACAGGTCATCGGTCATATTATGTCGTATTTATTTATATCCATTAGTTATATCCATTGCCATTTAATATCCACGATCATCCACTATAGTTAATATCCACTAATAGCACTATAGTTATATAGTCAATAATGTTAACTACAACTATAATATTAATATCCATATCCATTAATATCCACTATTATGTCCACTATAGTTCATATCCATTAATAAACCATTATATTATGTCCATTAATATCCATTAGTTATATCCATAGTTATTTCATCCATTGATAAACTATAGTTATATCCTTAGCCATTGAATATAATCCGCTATAGTTAATATCCACAATCATCCACTATAGTTAATATCCACTATAACTCTATAGTTAATACCCATAAGTATTAACAACTATACGTAGTTAAGTATAACACTAAAGTTATATCTATTATGTCCACTAATTAGATATCCATTAATATCCACTATATGGATAATATCCATTATTTAATGCCATAATAGATAACTATGGTGGATCCACAAAAACATGTTATATCGATATATCATAATCCACTATATAGTTAATATCCACTATATGGATAATATCCATTATTTATTAATAAACTATATTATAGTTAATTACCCATTAATCATCCATTAACTATAGTTAATATCCACTATATATATATCATCCATTAATAAACCATTATATTATGTCCATTAATATCCACTAATTAGATATCCATATGGATATCCACTATATTGATAATATCCATTTAATACTAATTTCATAATAGATAACTACGCCATACCTATAATATTATCCATTAACTATATTAAATCCATAGTTATATCATCCATTAATAAACTATAGTTATATCCTTAGCCATTGAATATAATCCACTATATAGTTAATATCCACAATCATCCACTATAGTTAATTTCCACTATATGGATAATATCCATTTAATATTAATATAAATATCCATTGCCATCCATTTATCCATTGCCACATTATATATAATATCCACTATATAGTTAATTGTCCATTAATCATCCATCAACTATATTATATCCATAGTTATATCATCCATTGCCATTGTATAGCCATCACCGCCATCCATTTTTCGAGGATCCCTTGCCCCTTCAGTGATCCGCTGATCCGCCGCTGCTCGGCCTTGCTGTGGGCGCATCTGCGGCGCCTCCATGCGCCCCTCGGTTGGTCGGAGACCGCGCGCTGGGCGCGGCGGTGGTTGGTGCAGAGGTGGTGATTTAGCCATCAGAAACGGTGATTTAACCATCAGAAATGTTGATTTAGGCATCAGAAATGATGATTTATGATGATTTTAAGCATTAAACACGATGATTAGCAATGAAAACTGGAGACTTGATCATCAAATATGGGTTGTACCTTCTAAAACCCAAGGAAATCATTGATAGATGATGGTTGTTTGATGGTTGTTTGATGGTTGTTTGATGGTTGGTTGGTTATGAAATAGTGGGCTATATCACCTGGTTGACTAGGGCTTGTGAACTAACCCATTTGATGGGAATAGCTATGTTCACCAACCTATGCAACGGGATAGGGTTTTCTTCCTGGCTCAGCTACAATGGTTGGACGGTGAACCCGCTCACCAGACTACATCAAAAAGCAATGCCAAAAAACAACTGGTGGTTGATGAAGAATTATAATGAGTGTAGGCGCAGTTTTTTTTTAAATGATGTTTTATGGTGGTTCAACATTTACACAGATATGCAACTGATAAATAATTTGATGACTATAACGGATTGTACTAGTTGGTTGGATGGGTAGTATTATGATCCAATACTGGAATCATCAACAAACTCATGTGGCCGCTGGCCTCCTCACCATGATCACCATGTGGTTTCCCCACTAATGGTACCCAAGATCATCATAGTTGGCAGCCATATCTTGGCCTTAAAATTGCTGATGATCAAGACCCTTGTGACTCCATAAATTCTTCAGGGCGCCAGAAATAGCGACCACAGAGTTTGGGAGTGCCTGGAAAAATGCTGGGTAAGTATCCATATAAATATAAATCAGGTCGTATCCATATAAATGGTGGGTAAGTATCCATATAAATCAGGGCCGGTATGGTTAAATGTTGTGTGAAAATCAGGTCGTTTTATCGATTTCAAGAGGAGAGCGAAAAAATGGGGACACAGAGTCTCTACTCACAGTCAGCTGGTCAGCTGTCGGATTACACTAGCTGGCCTAATGGGTATCCTATGGTATCATATTTCATTAGCTCTTTCGTTTTCAGGGTACCATAAAATGGGTAAGTCACAGCCTTGAAATCCAGGCACGCTTAAATGTCCCAGAGACGAGAGCATAAATTGTGACCAAATTCAACTCCTAGCTGGGATGGTAGATGATGGTAGGGGCTCAAGCACTAATCATATCGTACAAAAGCAATGATACGCAAATATAGAAATATGTACACAATGCGACGCACATGTATGTAATCATATGGTATCATATATTTGATATATGATTAATTATATATATATATATTCATATTATATGATAATACAATATGCAATATATATATATACATATTGTACCATGTATACATATGGTAACCACCATCCCGATTCACCTGTCGTTTTTCCGACGTCGACATCTCCCAGGCATATGGCGCCTTCCGTGCAGGCAGAGCTCACCAATCGTCTGGTCCATGCCTCCAAACTGGGACGAGCTTCACGGCGGAAAAACGGTGGTGGTGGCTGGCTTTTCACCATGGGGTTCTAAAAACTGGCCATTTTATTGAGGATCCCATGCGAAATTCACGGATATATATATATATATGTATTATATATATATGTATATGTATTAAATACATATGTATGTCTTATATATATATAGTATATATATATATATGTATTGTATATATGTATATATTATATATAAATATATATGTACTATATATATATGTATTATATATATGTATTATATATATATGTATATGTATTAAATACATATGTATGTATTATATATATAGTATATATATATATATGTATTGTATATATGTATATATTATATATAAATATATATGTACTATATATATATGTATTATATATATATATATATATGTATTATATATATATGTATTATATATATATGTATTATATATATATATATGTATTATATATATATGTATTATATATATGTATTATATATATGTATTATATATATGTATTATATATATATATGTATTATATATATGTATTATATATATGTATTATATATATGTATTATATATATGTATTATATATATATATGTATTATATATATATATATGTATTATATATATGTATTATATACATGTATGTATTATATATATATGTATTATATATATGTGTATATGTATTATATATATGTAATTATATATATATGTATTATATATATATGTATATGTATTATATATATGTATATGTATTATATATATATGTAATTATATATATATGTATTATATATATGTGTATATGTATTATATATATATGTATTTGTATTATATATATATATGTATTATATATATGTGTATATGTATTATATATATATATATGTATTATATATATGTGTATATGTATTATATATATGTATATGTAATTATATATATATATGTATTATATATATATGTGTATATGTATTATATATATGTATTATATATATGTATTATATATATATGTATATGTATTATATATATATGTATGTATTATATATATATTATGTATTATATATATTATATATGTATACACAATGGGATAGAAAAGGGGATATGACTAACCAAGGAGAGGATCTTTTAATCTTTGGGGTGTCAGAAAAGCGGTATGCCCATTAAAAAGTGATGATCACCCAATCGATTTTGGGGGTAGCTTTCATTTTGGACAAACCTATATGTGGTGGTGTCAAACAAATGGGTTGGTCAAAATAAATGGGTTTCCAAAAATACAGTCGGCATTTTGAACATGAGGTTCTCCATCAAAATGGACATATACAGTATCCCATTCTAAGACAATCAAATTCGATGACACTGCAAAAAAAATCGCTGTGTTTGATGGTTGAAGTTTGGTATGTAAAAAAATGTAGGCGGGTTTGCAGTCTTTCTTCACTGTTTAAACTCACGTATTCACCATGAAATTGTCCTCTTGGTTGTGGTAGGGTTCAATCAGCAAGGTGAATCAGGATCCCACACTAGCCGGACTTGAAAAATTGGTGTCCCAATAAACATGTTTCCATTGAATCCCTTTTCCCTTCCGATAACCACATGGCGAATGCCGAGGCCATGATTTCCATCGCATCCCACGGTGAAGGCGATCGATCAGGTGCCCAGTGTCTGGATCCCTTTGGTTGGGGAACCAGGATTTTACCAGTCTTAATGGGTTTCAGATGGGTTTCAGGCGGGCCTCTTCTTAGATGGCTGCCACACCATGGTATCACTATTTGGAATCTGGTTGAATGAATGGTAGCCTGGTAGAACCATCTGGTGATTTGACAGCTCAACAAAAGGGATTTCACGTTCGGAAATGATGAAAAAAAGGTAGTAAATGGTCACATATCTATTATTGGTTTAATGGAGGGTACCCTCTGCTAATTTAACCGTTTGCTATGGAACATCACCATTCTTACTTGGTAAATCATTAAAATGAACGGGCCATTAATTCAATTTTCTCCAACTGCCCCGTGGTAATTCATGGTAATTCAATGTATTTATTGAACATGGCACATTTAGTTCGATGATTTCCGCTTGAAAATTGTGATTATTGGAGCTCCTGTGATTATCCTTGGAGAAAATTGGATTATTGGAGAAAATTCAGGAAAACTTGGAACATGGTTTATTATTGGAGAAGATATGCTGGATGTTGGGAGCTCACCGGAGTTTTCATGGAAATGGCTGGAAATGGGAGATCTTGTTCTGAAGGACTAAAAAATCCCTTCCCCAAATATAACATACACCCTAAAAACCATCGTTGAGTATCGAATCTCATTTTGGAGTCCCATTGTGGTGAATTTGATAGGGGATTTGGAACATTGGAGCCAGACAAATATTCCGGTGCAGTTTTTTTTCTGATAGATTCGTCTCCCAAATGTTTTGCCTATGCCTATGCCCCCAAAAGATCCCAAAAGTAGCTGGTAGCTGTGTGCTGAGTGTGGCTGGGAGTTGACACATTAGACCTCAACATATAACATCCAACGATGTAAATCTTGAAGTTTGGCGGATTTTTTTTGCAGAGCTCTCGTCTTGATTGAGATATGGTCATTTATTTGATGCTAAATGGACGACAGGACCAACAGGACACGGTCCACGGTCTGCTTGATCTGGAAATCCATGATCTCAACTTCATTCCTGGCTTTGCCATGGGTGATGGGTAGATTCTAACCTCCATGGCTTGGGTATTTCATCCCTACAACTATGGTTGCCACGAAAAATCCTGGAACTCCGCCCAGCCAGGCTATTTGGAGGTGGTTCGCAACTGCATCATGCTGCAGCGATGTCTGGTTCAGGTGAGACACCCATTGACGCCTATCCTGGCGTCCACTGGCGTCCTAATGTCCCATGTTGCTGCTGTCTGTTCAGATGTCTGTAAATAGATTGTCCAGCAATCTTCCAATCCACAGTTCTTCTATGTTTTCTCGATGGTTGTTTCATAGTTTCTACTTTCTGGATGTCTTTGGATAACTTCTGTTCTTGCATCCCTCTCTCTACTACACCATCTACACCGTTCATACGTTCCGCTGCAAGGCTTTGGAAAAAATGTGAATGTATTTGCAGAAGTCTGTTCTAACACATTCCAACTCATCTTGCCTCATCGGCTTACAGATATGGTGACAGTGCAGTAATCTGTGTAGAAGCCTGCCTCATTCGCCAAACGCGCCCCTGTGGGAGGTTTGGAGATTTTGTAAATGGGCAAGACCAAACGAAGGGATACATGTAATATCATGTAATTATGTAATTCATGTATTGCTGGTTGGTGGTTTGGAACATTTTTTTCCCATAACATATGAGATAATCCTTCCCATTGACAACTATTTTTCAAGATGGTTAAAACATGTTAAAACCACCAACCAGATTGTATGCATATGATGAACGGAATGGTGACAGAGAAAAACCCTGCAGCATATGCACATGAACCTCGCCCCGATTGGGATCCTGAAACCGCGAGTCCAGAACTGATGAGAGCCATTTCCCTTAGCATCTTTAGTGTTACTATTGTTGTTGCTATATTGCATTACATGAAATGACGATGTTTATGATGATGGTTATTTGTTCTGGCTTTGTAATGCTCATGAGTTATCGAACATTCAGACAATAAACATATATGAACTGACTGGTAGACGGAGGCACTCTGTCGACATTGTTCAAGATACTTTCTGTAGATTTTAGATTATCCGAGGCACTCCCCCAAATCATACGGAAAATTCTATACGGTAATGTCTTTTAAATCATGTTAAAGACTTCTTTGATTGGATCATATAAGCCAGCAACATCATATAACATCATATAACATCATATAACCCCCATTTATAGAACAATTATCGTCATATTTCCCTCATTTCTACCGTGGGTTTTTACATCTCCATTTCTCGGTGATCAAATTTTCGCCCGGTGAGGCGATGGACTTCAATGATTCGCCGCTGCTACAGCTGCCCCACGTGAGGCCTGGAGTGTTTCACCAAAAGAAAAGTGGTTGATCTATCCGAATCTATCCGTTCATAGTGGTTGATATCTATATATATATAGCCCATATGTATATATACATATGTTTGATATCTATTTAGAATATTTGTACTATGGACTAGTATGTTTAAACATCTTAGTAATTGTACTAGTGGTTATGAAGATATTCATAGTGATGAATCATATTGGCGAAGCAATGGGATACGCGTATGGATTTCACCATCACACTGGCGGAGCTGAATCATGATGGGTTGCTGAGTTAAATTCAGCATCAAACAACTTCGGTAATCCTTGGTTAAGTAGTTTAGTATAGTTTAGTAGTAAGCAATTGTTTTTCACTTTTTAAAAAGTTTTTTTTTTCATCAGTTGCAACGCAAAGTATGTAAGATTGGCATAGATTGGCCATGTTTTTCCATAGAATCATGGACCACCCAGCACTGGCTTCATGCGGCCATATCTATGAGTCGAGTGCCATCCCATTGGTTGAACGAAGTGAAGAGATGGTCAATCCTCAAAGAACTTGTATGAACTTGTCTTAGCCAAAATGTAACAAGTTCATAAACCGTTCATGAACCAGTTCTATGAACTTAAAAATCAGTTTGCCATACTTTTACCGTATAAATTTTGTTGGTTTCACTCACATTTTTCAGTCAATAAGTAGCATAAAGTAACCCATACTGTGGATGCGAAATCCTGTCTGGTTGAATTTCACCTTAATGGTCCAGTCGGGGAACCCCGAAACAGGTCGGTACCAAAGGGGGCACCCAGCTTTTCAGAGGCCGTGGAGTTGTGGAGTTGGGGTTCTGATTTAACATGATTGAAACATCTACACTGAAAATACCATGGGATATTTTTATGGGATATAATTATGATTGAAATACTGTAATTGGTAAACTAAAACAATGATCATACTGATACTATGTTTGATTTTTAAATGTATAGAAATTGGATGATGATGCCAGCTGACGAACCTTTTATTTAAAGGTGATGGGTGAACCACTAACCAACTGGGGATAGAGATGGATGCATGTATATATGTTCCCCAGAAAATTGGGGGGATGAATATCCACGAACACCAGCAAAAATATCGGGTGAACGGCAGGGTACAAACTTTTGACTGCGAAAAACATCAGGGAAGGTTTGTGCCAAGAGGCTATGGCTAGTGAACATGCCATCAAAATTATATGGGGGTTCTGGGCCGAGTTTTCCCTATTCTGCGAAGATTCTTGCGCATGACCCCATCTATAATTTGGTTAATTTGTTTAAAGCTACCAGAATTGTTCTCATTTGTTAGATGTATAACATAGTATGATTATGAAATGATATATATATAGATAGATATTGTCATAGACAGACAAAAATATAGGTATGATGAATGGGTTGTTGTGTTAATCTCTCCCATTTCACCAGTTTTTTTTTCACTCACCCGGTGCTCCATTCAGGTGTTAAAGTCGCCCGAACAGTCCCTGTTGAAGAGACTCGGAAACTTCACGGAGCAACAGGTTGGAGTGCGGATGGCATGACACAAAAGCTGGTGGAGGATACGGATAATATGATATTTTTATGGATATATGATATATCATGGATATAATGGATACAATGGCTATATTAATGGATATATTATCATTAATAGGATATTATTGGATATAATGAATATATAATAGGATATATAATGGATATAATGGATAAGAGTAGGATAATATGGCTAATAATAGGAATCATGAGATCATAGTTGGAGCACAATACGAGTTAATAGGACATTAATGGCATGACACCCTCCGGTGTCATTAAACGTGGCTGGACATCCGAAAATGGAGGTGTCTAGCTAGGAAGATCATCGAACTATAGCCGGGGGATTTTCCCAGAAAGCCACGTGACTGATGACCTTATCGGGTTTACTCGTGGGCAATCATCCTCAGCCGCACAGATCACAGCTAACCAAGCGATGGAATTTCAGGAGATGATCATAGATTCAGAATCGAGAGTCAGCATAGAGTCAGACTCTACCCTCTGGTAAACGTTTACATAACTATGGAAAATCACCATTTTCAATGGGTAAATCCACTATTTCTATCACCATGTTCAATAGCTTTTTTGACATAGCCAGAGGGTATGTCAGGATTTCAGATGATCTCAGATGATCTCTGAATCAACATGCAGAAAGTATAGAATCGTAGAATCTTAGAACTGAAGATGCCTAGCAATGAACATTCACATGATAGATGTTTCTACGCGCCTTTTTTTTCCAAAAGAAAGGGAGGTCAGATGCAGGTTCTGGACATCCAGTGCTTCTGTCAGCACCTTCCGATGGTTGAGCTCAGCTACAGCGTGGAGGCAGCATTGAACCGCCGCCTGTGATCTCAGTAAAATGTGGTTAAATTTGTTGTAAATCTATGTACTTGCCTGAACATGTAGAAGGTCATATTCTTGAAGTGGATAGGTTCGTTTTGTTGATGTTGCCTCTTGATTTGCAGCTTTTCAGGTTGGCCATGTCATGCCATGTCAAACATTTCCGATTTTCAACACTTTTTTTGGATGGTTGTTTAACAAACCAGTCTTTTGTTGGTTGCTGTCAGTTTCTGAACTTTGTTCTATAAACGAAGCAGTTTGCGCTGATGGTCCTGTGGTTTGTCGGTCTTACGAATCGTTCCGCAAGAGATTTCATAGTCCAAACAGAAACACTGTGGCCTCGTGTAAGATTAAAATCCTATCATGAATGGATCACTATGGATCACTATAGGTTACTCATCTTCCCACTGTTTTCTCACAATGCCATAGACATGTCCAGTACATGGCAGTGTACCACTTTTTCTACCAGGTGAATGATGAAGCAGAGATGGCTGAAGGCGATATGGCCACCTTGAAGGCGCTTCCACATTTGAAAGTTGGCGGCCGGGAAGACTCAAATTAAACATAATGAGTGATTTGAGTAGTAAGAACGGGTGAGCGAGAAAGAAGCACCAGGGTGATGTCACTAGCAGATACTAGCAGCAGATTTCTCAGTGCTTAATTCTGCAAGTGCGCGTAATCTCATGCGGTTGGGTCCTCAATCTCTTGGAATTTGTTTAAAGATGCTTAAACAAATGCTTAAACAAATGCTTAAACAAATGCTTAAACAAATGCTTAAACAAATGCTTAAACAAATGCTTAAACATGCTTAAACATGTTTAAACGATTTCAATGTGCGCATGATCTCATGCACACCTGGGAATATTTCTGGGATGGCTGAGACAGTAAAGAATTCATCCCAATTTCTGTGTTTTTCCTAGGCTTCAAGCACCCGCAGCCACAGATTGCACAATCAATTATCCCAATTATAGAAAAGAACTTCTTATTTTTTGCTATTTTTGTTTGGGTGGCATTTTGCCTGATTGCATTCAATACTACTTGCCTGATCCAATGGTGCCACTCGGTGCCTTCTACGAGACATGGCCATGGCAATGCTATGTTAGCACCTTAGATGGCTTCACCTTGACTGGCTGAGGCCGTGATGTGGACCTTGTTTTCAAGAGCCCTTTAACATCCTTTATATAACTATAGATAACTAATTAACTATAGCCATAACTCCATAACTATAACTAATATTAACCATAGCTATAATATGCTATAATTATAGTCATAGTCCTTTAACGATAACTCATTAACTACAGCCATAACCAGAAATCGGCGATCAGAACCCCATCGAAATTTGAAAAAATCGGCAGGTCACCTTCACCAGAACCAACCTCTCCGACTCCGAGTCGGCCGGGCCGGTGCACGCACTCTTCTTCCCTGTGGTGAAGCACGAGGTACAGCGCCCTTAGGGCACCGAGAAAATGGCGCGAGCTGTGACTGATCTGGTTGGATGATATGGATGATATGGTGATGTTGATTTTTTCAATCATGGCACATGAAAAAAGTAAGTAATTATCATGTATAAATAAATAAGATTAAATAATATTAAATAAGATTAAATAAGTCTATATACATATTATATATATACATATGTTTGAGATTAGTTGAAAGTCATCCAAGCGGTCTCGATTTCCACACTTTCTTCACTTACACATTTTCATACATTTTCAACATTCTTGCTAGGGGCTGAATGGTGGTTTTCATGTGGTACTTGAAATCAGCAGCATCCGTGCAGGAATGGTGGCTGCTGGTCTACGACAAGCGTGGACGCAGGAGCCGCTCGCGATCGCAACGGGGAAATGTTGATAGGAAAATGAATCACTATCCAAAACACCCATATGATCATAGGAAAATCATGAAATTCTCTCAAACATATTCGATGTTCCTCATGGGGAGAGGATGATCCAATATGATCCAATTAGAAGTTATAATGGAAACAAGCAAAAAAGTTGATAACAACTGGAGGATTCCTAGTGACGATTTGTATTGTGGGCATGATTTGGAGATATCCAGGTCCTGGCTCAAGAGGAGATGATTCAACGGATGCAACAACATGGTGGCCACGTTTTTCTTTCCCTGGAGGTTTCAACATGTGGGAGCACCATGTACTCGTATTAATCCATGTATTTATCCGAAAAGAAAGTGGTTATCCATTTTTGATCACGTATTCTCTGGAAATTTAACAGTTTGCTATTGAAAATGGCCCATAGAAATAGCTGATTTACCGAACTTAAAGATGGTGATTTTCCAGTTCGCTTTTTGTATGTTTACCAGAGGCTATTCATCATTTTCTTAGTCTTTTCCCATCATTTTCCTAGGTTTTCCTATTTTTTCCCCAGTTTTCCCATGATTTCCCTAGGTTTTCCTAGTTTTTTCTCCAGTTTTCCCATGATTTCCAAGGGGTCATGGATCATCCCAACTTGGCGCAGGATGATCGCCGCGGATCTGGTTCTGGGAACCGGCCGTGTCTGCAAAAGCAGTGTGAATTTTATCGCGGCTTGGATGAGACTCGATGAGTAAAAGGAGGTCTGCAACTGGCACTTATTTATACATATATATATACATATGTTTATTACTATATATTGTATATTATTAACATTGATTAATATCATGTTATATCATCATATTATCATATATTCTCCCTTAAGACATGTGAAAATCATACGCGACCCACCTAAGCTAAGCAGTGAAAAGATATGGCCCATCAAAGTGACTATTCCTCCAGTCCAACAGGGTGGAACGGCTGCTGGTTTTGGCCTATCGGATTCCGCTACAGATCAGATGAGTTAGATTATGTTGGATTAGCATGGATTAGACAAGTTAGGTCCCAATATCTTTCTGATAGTCTATCTATACTATCTATCTAGAATATATACATATAACATATATCTATATATTATATTATATACATTGGTTGTCCAGTTATATATGGTCAGTCAGGTCGAAACATGCAATGAGGTCCCAAACGTCCTGAGATGTCCAGAGTGGGACCTCTCACCTGAGGTGCCGCGGCCCGGTGACTTTGAATGGTCGGTGATTGCCATGTGCGACTCCTACGCAGGTCGCGGGGGTCTTTTCGTCAAAAGGACGGTCCAGATCCAGGGGGGTTCATGATATCATGTTCCCCCATCTGGCGATGCCCAAAAACCAGTCCCATTCATCTTGGGGGCATACACAGCCAAGTGGGGTCAAAATATGGTGGAAAAACCATGATTGAAACAATGGGGGTAGACTGAAGCCCTGGAAAAATTCACCTGAAGTATCGCATTCTCCATGGTATTCTCCCTTGATGGGTGGTATCCCCATGGTATCAGCTTTAAAAACCGCCTGTCTCGCTAGGTTTGGACGTAACTTTGGATGTCCACTTCAGAGGGAAGAAGAAGTCTGAAGTGGATCGGCTGGGTTTCCCAGGTCCAAGGGAGCCAAGGCTATGTTCCTTTTAGGATGTTTTATGTGATATCAACGTGATCCTATGTAATTCAGGTTGATTGTGGTTGTTTGTGGTTGTTTGTGGTGGCCATGAGCATAATTATATAATTATATCAGGAAGATCTTTATATATCGATCTTTATATATCGATCTTTATATATCGATCTTTATCATAAATCGCATAAATTATATCATGTCATCATGTATCAAAGTTGTCGCCCCAAAGAAATGCATCCTATACTCACCTGGGTTTTCAACCTTAGCTAAGCCCCAAGGTCGATCTTTATTCATCCGGAGGCACACCGGGCACGGGAGCTTCAAGGGCTTAAAGGATAGCCCAACCAAAACGGAAAAGGGCATCAATGTTTTTTTTTGCAGTTTTTCCTGATTTATGGGGTATGACGGTATCTCTGCAAGTCTCACAAAAGATGGAGACTAGTTTCTAGCAATTTAGATTTGGTAAATGCGGCTTTTAAATGTGGTTTGAATGCAGACATTCGATCTCAGCTCGTCCAGGATGCGGAAATTCGCAGTTTCTTCGAAGAACTGATGATGGGTCTTGATCAGGACCTGTTTTTTTTTTTTGTCGCAACGGTAAACCAACAGTTTTTGGGCTATGATGGTAAAGTACCCATGGGTACCCATAAAAGTTGGCAGATTCGCCAGGTTTCGACCCATCCGGATGGTCGACCCCCACTGGCTGATAAACGTGGACCCAAATGTTAACCATGTTTTAAAATGCGAAAAACCACTCACTCTTAAGATACCTATGAGAATTATTGAAAATTGCTAAACATACGTCAAACCACTAAACATGTGCGGTAAAATCATGTATATTGCAGGTGAAAAAGGGTCTGGTATCACTCAAAGCGTTTCCCCCAGGACCACGAATCGGATTCTGAAGATGAAGAGGATGATTCTGCACGGCAGCAACAGATGCATCTGGGTGGCAAGTCATGGTGCAAGTCGGAGTGAAAATCTATTGGCCTCCTACTTGGGGGAGCGCAGTTGGGGGTAAAATGGGCTATAACCCTCCAATGGTCATATTATATACATATTAAATCATATTAATATATATATATATATATATATATGTACTGTAATATTGTACTGTCATATTAATATGATTTAATATATTAAATCATATTAATATATATTAATGGTCATATTAATCATATGTAATATTGTACTGTATGGTTTAATAGCACAGCTTTCCTGTCTTCGCAATTTCTGGGATCCAGGACTGCAGCAGCCATGGCTTCGCACATTGCGGAATACGTTCTCCAGCATGGTGCATCAGTAATTGGATGTTTGGGCATTCTGATAGTACATGCAACTTTGACCAAGGAAGATTTTCGAGTTTTCTATGAACACTTTCGCCAGTGGTGTTCCAAGACATCCTTCCGCAAGCAGCGAGACGAGCAACAGCTGCGGTACCAAAAAGAGCTTTTGCAGGCGAGGCTTCAAATGCTTCGAGTTGCCAATCAAGTGCTGGTACAACTGGCTTTCCTAGTGGGTTTCGTTGCACTTTGGAGATTCTTGAAGGATCAGAGCTTTGCCTCGATATGTCAAGTTGCTGGAATGATGCTGGCCTATGGCCTACACTCCTGCTCCCAAAGACTTGTCAAGACGGATCTTCAATTTCGTGTATTTGAAGTGGTGGTCCTGTCAGTTCATGGGCTTATGACCGCTGGACTCGTTGGTGAATCTGATATTATGACCCTTTTCTTTGCGGAGAAAGTGCTGGGAGCGGGACTTGTCTTCATGTCTGTCACTCTATTCGACCTGAAGATGACTTTGAGTACCCAAATTTGCGAAGCCGTGCTTCTCATGTACAAGCAGTTTCAACTAGTTGGCTTTGAACAGGTAACATTGTTAATGTTCACATCTTCACTGACCTCGCATTTTGTCACTGCTGTACTCATTGTGTTCACAGATCGTATCATACGATCCAACATCTTTGCCAAGATGAATTCCAGCGACGCATCGTCGATGATGTTGGGATTCCGCCAGGTGTTGCGAGGAGTTTGTGATGGTGATTTACTATTGGACAAGAGCAGCTGCAGCATTGTGGATGATGCAAGCTGCCTCGAACGCTTGCTGAAGTCCAGTAAGAAATTGTCCAAGACTAATTTCCTGGATCTCTTCCTGGACTCGGAAAGTCGCCAACGATTTTTGCACTTTCTGAGTTCGGATCCTGAGGCAACGCCTGCGATGCCTCGAGGCTTGAGGCTTGCTTTGCAGGGTGCTGATGGACTGGTGTCCATCGACGTGTTCCACACCCAGGTCTCCAACCAAGGTGCGACAGGCAATGACTACTGCTTGTTGGCATCTTTGCATTGTAGCAATTGTAGCACTACACTTTTCTTCTGAATCCGATGAGCTTTTTCTTGGCCTTTATTGTTCGGATCAAGTTGGATCAAGCACATAGCCCACTCATGCCCACTGAAACTTGATGACTGGGGATGAAAAACTGGGGATACCAAGGCATTAAAAGAGGATCCAGAGCAATCAGCCCCTCCTGATGCGCCTGAAACTACGCCACCAACTACGTCAGTGAAGTCTGAAGCAATCCCATCTCGATGTAGCAGCACGGTCTCGGAAGTTGCCAGGCTTTTATGAAAGATCTGTGACAATTTTGAGATTTGATCAATTTGATCATGCCTTCAATGTCTTCAGGAAACCATGGTTGTTTTCCATATCCATATCTATTTTTGGAGGAAATCCTGGCCCCACCATACCATGGGAACTTTTTCACCGAACTTATCCATATCTACTATAGTTATCTTACTTCACTGCGGGGTATTTGGAATGTTCCCATTGCTTAGGAACGTGGGAGTCTACTGGGATCTTTTTTTTTGGTGCCCTGAAAACACATCCGTAAGGTTGTGGAAGCTTACGATGAACTAGTTGAGATTGCCTCTTGGTGGTGGTTTGATTCACATGGTGTTTTTGTTTCGCCATAAAATTATGGGTGGATCGGATGATCATGAATTTCCTTGGGACTTGGGGTATAGATGGGCCTAGAATTTCCCGAAACTTTCGACCAGGCCTTGTTGGTGAGCAATAAGAACGCAATGTTTGATATTAAGGAGGCGCATCTTGCTTTCAGGCGGCAGAGCTCAGAACCAGCCATTGAATCTGGAATGCCCACACTGCGAAGATTCATCCGGCCATCGGATTGGGATCGCATGGAGAAGATGTTTGACATTGTGACCAATCTCCCTCCTTCGGATGTGCAGCAGCGTTGCACCTTCCGCCATCCAATGTTGTTCAGACTTCCAGGTGAATCTCGAAGCTATCTTCGTTCCAGACAAACCTCAGTGTATCTGGCTGGCCAAGTAGTGCCAGACCATCCCGCCCATTTCTGGATGAATTTCTCGTCCTTTGACGCAAGTCAAATCCGTCGTCCCAGAGAACCGGAGCTGCAGGGCATTTATGAAGAGTCATAGGGTGACTCAGGGTGACTCTGTGACTTTAAATGATTTTAATATATGTACACGGGTGGTATAACCCATCTAATATATGTTTAATTCATGTTCTATGACTATATTTATAGCATTGCCTGATCCCTGAGCCCCACCAACCTGCAAGTTATACAGCTTACGAACGGGCAGGTTCTCGGGGCCAATGGTAGGGACAAGCATAATTTGATGACAGTTCCAAGACATCCCTGTCCCTTTCCACAGGGGTAACCTATTGAACAACCAATCAATTTACATTTACTTGGGTTGTCTCAAATTTAGAACCTTAAATCAATGTTTTGTCACCGTTTCTCCCGTTTCTCAGATGATCATGATTTTCCTGGCGCTTTCTGGCCTCCTTTTGAGACAAATCCAATTTGCCGAAGCCTGGCACACTATAAAAAACTGGTGTCACAGGTGCTGGAAACTCAGCTACCCGGGTATTCAGCCCGGTACGCTGGAGTGTTTAGAAGCAAGCAATTTCAAAAACCGCGGTTGGTTAATGATTAGAGGGGGTTACTCCACCTAATATAGGGGGAAATCACAAATCAGCAGATAATCCTCATTCACCAACTATTATGTTGCAGCTTTCCCACAGGTTTCTGTGTAGAATCTGCAAGTTCGCAAAGCCGAGCAAGGAGAAACACTGGCTGCCTTCATGTGGTTTGAGATCGTGTTAATGGATTCTAAAGACTTGCTAGTTGGATCTAACATATCTGGTGGTTTGGAACATGACTTTTATTTTCCCAGTTGGGATGATGATCCAATCTGACGAAGTCCATCATTTTTCAGAGGGGTAGGGCTCAACCACAAACCAGATATTCTAAAATCCGTCGATAGTTGGAACACAACAGGTGGCCATGGACCTCTCTGGGTAGAGTGATGGGAAAGACATAAGTGGAACCACCCTCATTTGCTGGTGGTCTACATATACGCTTACTGTTAGATGATGTTAGATGTATCTATGGGTTCCAAGTTTAAGCCAGGTGGTTTCAAGGCAAACTATTCCTGACACTTCATTTCCCATGCCAACAAATTGGCGCTGGTGATCTGAAGGGCAAAAATCACCAAGCAATGATTGATCTTCCACTTTTTGTAGTGATCCCGCTACATCCCTGCGATACCTAATGTGAAAATGGATGCCGAATCGGTAGTTTCATAGGTTCACATGCCAATTTCCCTCATGTTTGATGCTTCAACCCACATGTTTCATGCTTAAAATCTTCATTGTTTCTTGGTCTAAGCCCCATGTTTCATGTATACACCACTATATAACAATATATAACATATGAAAACATTGGAAAACCAAATAAAACATTATAAGATATTATAAGACCAAGTGTTTTATGATTTTTCTCCTCTTTTTTGGACCATTTTGGACCTTTCCCATAATTTTTTCCCATTTTGGTGGCTGATCCCAGGCTGAAACGCGATGCCAAAAAGGCCGCGGGGGTCGCAGAGGTCGCTGCGGTGGAAGCGCAAGCCGAAGGGGCCGAAGGGGCCGAAGGGGCCGAAGAGGAGGTGGGATCCTGATGGGTTTGGGGATAGGATATAAATGTTCTATAACTATATAACTATATAACTATAAATGTTATAACTATGTTATTATAACTATATAACTGTAGTTTATAGAAATATTGATATAATAACTATAAATATGATAATATTTCATTATATTTATATAATTATTAGATATTGGTATTCTCCATCTTAAACACATATATATATATACATATGTTAAATTATATCCTTGTATATTGCTTATAATATGTAATATATATATATATACAGTACTGCTTCTGAAACTTGGTTCAGCCATTACTTCATGTTAACCAATACAGAATTGACTCCAACAGACCTTTCCATGGATAAGCCAACGGTAATTCATATGATCATAGTATAGTATATGCACCGTATAACGTATAGTATCTACCTGGGTTGGCCCAGCCTAGAACAGGTTTAGGGATGGCTATCAGCCAAAGTTTGTCCCCAGTCTGTTTGTTTCGAGATCATTGTCAGCATCAAAAAACACAATATTTGATAACACACATATATATATATGTATGTATCTATGTATGGATATACACATGTATATGTATAATATATGTATTGTGTTATGTTCTGTTCTGTTCTGTTATGTTATGTTATGTTATGTTATATGATGTCATGGCATGTCATGTCATGTCATGTAACGTAATGTAATGTATTGATATCCCACTTCGGATTTTTTAAAGATCCCCAACAACATGGGGATTTCCCAGCTACTTTTTTTCAAGGCTCCTACCTTTTCGCAGGTGACCGCCGACAACGGCTCCGGTGCCAAAGAAGATGCAGGCGCCGGTTGGATCGGTTGGTTGAAATCAAAGGGTCAAGTTGCAGAAGACCCAGCGCCAGCATCTATATTTTGTCATAGGTTCTTTAGTATCCAAATACAAGCAAATAAGTACATAGATAAATTAATAAATACACATATATATATAAACTCAGTTTGCTATGAGGATCTAGGATTTTCCAGCAATACACGCATGGATTCATTTTCCTGAGAAGCTTCATCAGTTTCTCTGACCCATCTGGTAGTTTTGGCATGACCCATCTTCCGATCTGCTTTCGGTCCCCGAGTTCGGAGATCCTCGGTGGAACTCTCCCAGGTTCTGATGAAGATGAAGAAGAGAAGCAAGTCCCGGAGGGGTCGCCGGAAACCTCAGCCTCAGCTGCTGGTTGAAGAGGCTGTTTTTTAGGTCCTGAGGATCGGTTTTCTGAAGGGTGATGGTTGAAGAACTTGCTGTTGTTATGGTCATGATTATCACATGATCATCACCGTTCCACACAAACATCATACTATTCTCACCCATGGGATGATGAAAGCACCAGCCAGATATGTTGCCGGGTTTTATCGAAAGAAACTCTTTCTTGTGAAATTCAGCATTTGTTGGGCAGCAACCCCAAGCCATTTTTTCATTGCAGAAACCCAAGTTCTGCTAGTTCTCATCCCAAATTTCTGCGTGGAATCGCCGAAATGAGTTCGCCTTGAAACCCATGTTTTCACAAGAACATGTTACCCTCTGGTAATTCAACATATATAGCTATGGAAAATGGATGAACATGGAATCATTTATTTACCTGTTAAAAATTGTGATGTTCGATAGCAAGCTGTCAAATTTCCAACGGGTAAGCTGTTATCAGTTGATGGTCATCCATAGGTGGCATGACCTCTCCGTATTGCTGGTACAAGGGCAGGCCTACTCATCATGCCTGGTTTGTATAATTAGTATATAATACATTATATATACATATGGATATGAAATTCAATTGGCATCTTGATGAAATGACCGTCAGATGGTTTTATCCCCACAATGTATCCACTATTGCGTCAGTGAAAAATCAATGATTTACATCTGTTGATTATCCTAACCACAATTTCTCCACTACATCCCATTAAACTAGTTGGCAGAACCCGGCCTATACCATTATACAATCATAACATATAGCCCTGATGTTTCCTCGAGTACTTTAAATTTCAAATATATGTATACATATATATATATATGTACATATTTAATATAATATACATACATACATATATATATATTGTAGAGAGAGAGACTATTTAACAATATTAGACATATCAAATTGTGCAAAACTTTCCGCCCATCGAACCCCCTGAGATTTTTCCGCATCATGGACACCACCGGCTGCTTTCTCCACCGGGAACCCACGGAGGACATCGAACTTGACAGAAGCATGTTATTTGCTACCGATAATATACAGCCCGAGCGCTGGTGAAGAATCCGAAAGCTTGAGGTCCAGGGTCCCTCAAATTCTTATTTTTAAATACAGGCAAATTTACACTACAACAGGCCGAGGGTCCCTCAAATTCTTAAGGCATTCTTAGTATTGTATTGCAGGCATCTGCACAATTTGGAGCAAGATTAAACAAGGTAACGAGGTGGAGTTGGCAGATTTGACTATTCATGCGAAAATATGTCTTCAAAATCGAGCCACAGCACGATTTTGCGTTATACCAGGGTTTTGGCCGCGCTGGGCTCTGTCGTGGCCGGAATCCGGCATAGCTGTTCCGGCTTGGTTTTGGCCTTGGTTGCTTGCAGTGGGGCCGCGGCGCCAGGAAAACGCAAAAACGCGCGTAGATCGACGATCTACGCGCGATTTTGCGTTATACGGGTGTTTTGGCCGCGCTGGGCTCTGTCGTGGCCGGAATCCTGCATAGCTGTTGACACCCGCAAGATGACACCCGCCACGCCCGGGAAAACGCAAAAACCCGCGTAGATCGATGATCTACGCGCGTTTCTGCTTTTTGAGCCCGGTTTCGCTGGGCAGAGCAGTCCCAGCGCCCACTGGAGAGGCCGTGAAGGCTCGGGACCGCCGGGCAACCCCGGCTGCGTCGGCTCGGCGGTGTATCCAGCGGACTAAAGTTCAGCGCCCGGGGGCCGCAGCCGCGCCAAGGCTTGATTCTCCCCCGGCGCGCCCTTCACAGGCTTGGGCTTGACGTTTTTTTGCTTGAAGGAAGCGAGTCATCACACGGTCCGTGTAGCAAGTCACGCTCGTGGTCATGCTTGGCATTCGTTTTACTATTTGATATTTTCTATTCTTGCAATGCGCTTGCCAAGCAGATTTGACAAGAAGCATGCGAAAATAGCATTTTGTAGATCCTGGAAAAAAAAGTGTTTTTTTTGCTAAGCCAGGCTTGTCTGAGTTTCGTGCGGTTAGTGCGCAAAAAAGAACGTTTTGGTCTCCAGTACAAGGGCTCACGCCTAAAAAAATAAACGCAAAAAGGAGAATTTCAAACCTCACTTATAAGCAATAATTTAAGAATTTGGCAGTCCTATTCCAGGGTCCCTCAAATTCTTAACGTACTATGTGTTTGGTATAGCTGAAAATATGTAGCCCGCCTTGGAATCGAGCCCCTCAAATTCTTATACAGTGAATTCTTGTACAATACTCAAGCTGTATGTAACTACATCCATGTGACG